CAGAGGACAGTTGAGCCTGGACACGAAGGATCGCAGAAGCAGCAAGACATTGGCAAGAAGAGTGCTGCGGGCAAGAGGGGAAGGGGCCGAGGAGAAACGCGGTAAAATTGGCAAAACAACGAGCGAAAGCGCTCAAGACTGGTACGAAGGCGAAAGCACCAGGTGTTTCAAAAGCGCAAGAGGGCGGTTCCCCCAGCGTTAAGATGAAGAACAAAAAGAAGAATTGCAGAAACAAGGCAGCACAAGGAAGTACACGGCGGGCAAGAAAGACCCCGGCGAAGGAGAAGAAGAAAACGAAGAAAGGGAAAAGGGCAATGCAATAGGAGAGAGAGAGAGTTGGATCGATGTACGGTTCTTGTCGTAACGAAGGATCTCATGGAAGAAGATACACAGTGTTCACCAGCATCGCACCCCCACCCCCGGCGCAGTGAAGGGGCAACCTGAAAGCTGGTCCTCCGCGCGTGGAAAGCGCCTTTAACCACCTGGTGCGGGCTAGCGCCAACTAGCTGCCTCGAACCACTCCCTGTGCAGGCCCTGTTCAAGGTCACAGACCACACGAGCCCAGAATCAAAAGCCAAAATCGGTTCTCTCATTTCATACACGTAGCCGGGCGGAGTGGGCACCCCAGAGTGCCGCCCTCATAGTGCCTGCCCACCGTCATAGTGTCTGTCCACCAGAGTGGCCATCTACCCTGAGGAGTGCCTGTCAACCATCAAAGTGCCTGCCCTCCGAAGTGGCAATACACCTGGGAGCGTCAAAGTCCGGGACTTTAGGAAGTATTGTCTCGTGCCATCAGGTGCTGCAACCTGCGGGACGAGATTTCTTGGTCCGAAGCTGTAAGCTGTCGAGACGCTCCCGAAGCGGCCCGAGCGGCGACATGGCGTAGTGTCGGCACGTCCAGGCCATCGGTCAATGCAATCCGCCAAGTCAGTTTGGAGACCACGTCGAGTCCAATTGACGGCTCGACTATCGCCCAAAAGTCCTAGTAGCCGATTTCCTGCTGCGCCGACTGCTGTTACAATGCCCATGTAGTCGCTTCCTTGGTCGTGGCTATTTGTTGGCGACAGCACTTGGGTCAACACCAGCTTGATAAGCGGTGTGCTCAACTTAACATTGCTTTTCCTTGTGCCGACTTCGGTTTACCTCCGTCAACATTTCGATAAGCAGATCTCCTTCACAGCCTGCTAGATCCCTAAATTCCCGAATTCTACCTAGATTCCTATAATTTCCGAAATCCCCAAATCCTACAGCAAAATACTAATAGACTTATAAATTATTCTTATTAAAGAATTAGGAAAACGAAATCGATCTAAATACTATACTTAATTAGTAATTATATAATAGTTAATTACTAAGGGCTTACTAAGAATAATATAAAGATAGTATTAAGGAAGGGAGGAATATTATCGTTATTATTATTATTACTAAAGAAGAAGAAAAGATAGAAATAAGAGTTAAAAATCCTTTTATAGATATACTATAAGAATAATTAAATAGAATTAAGATAAAGAATGAGAATAGAAGAATATTATAATAGTAAGGCTATACTAGTATGCGATTACTTATTAATTAACTATAAAAGAGAATTATTAAATTATTAATTAAGAATACTTAAAAAATAAGAAGTAGAATTAAGATAAGAAGAAAACATAGAAAAGTACTAAACTATAGTTATTAGAAAATAAATAATTAACCTAGAAAACCTTAGCTAATTAATAGGAGGTACTCCTTAAGATATAGAGACTTAAGAATTAAATAAAGACCTAGAATATATAGACGTCCTTAGATTAGATAATACTAAATAGCTTAGGGGAGAATTACCTAGGATTTAATAAAGACCTCTAACTTAATATTATATTATACTTCGGGAGCTATTAGAAAATAAATAATTAACCTAGAAAACCCTAGCTACTTAGTAGGAGGTACTCCTTAAGATATAGAGATTTAAGAATTAAATAAAGACTTAGAATATATAGACGTCCTCATATTAGATAATACTAAATAGCTTAAAGGAGAATTACCTAGGACTTAATAAGGACCTCTAACCTAATATTATATTATATTTTAGGATAAAGTAAAGGAAGAGACGAGGCGTTATATTAAGACCTAAAGGAGGTATAAGATTAATAGGGGTTCGCTTATTATTTAATCGTAAAAGCTAAGGAGAGAGGACTAAGCGTATATTACGACCTGGCAGCTTCCGAAGGAGGAATACTATTAGAGGGGGTTAGGGTTATTATTAGTAGAAGCGTAGGTTATTATAACGCCCGACCAGGCCGTCACTAGGAAGCTCTGGCAGAAGCCCCGCACGCGACTAAACGCAGAGCACGGACTAAAGGGATTACTTACGTGACCGTAACTAGATCACGATACTTAAGGTGATCCTATTACTAACTTAACCGTGATCTACGGTAATAGGATCACGATAGTACCTATAAACTATCTAATATAGACTTATTATTTAATTAACTTAGGATAGGGAAATAGGTATAAGAGGGTGGATATTCTTATATTTATAGATATACTCTTTCTTACGATAGTGATTAATCTAAGTCTTACTTTATATTTATTATAACGAGTACGTAACGCTTTATAATACTATATCG